CCACCCCACCCACCTTGCACTCTGCTCCAATGTTGGGGGGGAAAGCACCTCACACCTTAAATGGGGTGAGGGGGGAACCTTAACTACTTTATTTACTCAAATACAAGACAAGATCTAAATTGGCAATAATTGCCTAAGACTTCTCTGATCTCCACGGGAAGAGCAAACATAAAACATCGATCAGTAAGACCTTAAGATAAAGACCAATTTGTTGCAGAAAGCTGAGGCAACAACTAGAGGGCATCTCTTTTGGATCTGGCTCAAACCAAAAGTATCAACTAGTCGCAAAGGTGAAGGCTGTCAAAAATTGGGGAGGAATGCATCATGACTCAAGGGAATTCATGATTAAAATGAAGACTACAGACAAAATTAAATTCAAAGACAGACATGAGGTATTCAGATAAAGAAAATAAACTTATAAACAGAGAATGAGGAACATCCAATATGTTGGCCACAAGACTAACAAAAATGGGTTCTAGTGGAAACACAAGCTCAAGAATTGGCTGTGCAGAGTTGTTACAAGAAAGTAAAAGCAATTTGGGGCTGCATTAACAGAAACACTGTGTAACAGGAAATGTAACAGTACCATTCTACCCAGCTAGACTACTGTGCCCACTTTGGGGAACCACACTTAAGAAATGTGTGAAACACCTGGAGGGGCTTCAGGGGGTATGCAATGAAGATAATACAGGGGGTTGAAATGCAAGGCACATGAGGAAAGGCTGAAGGAAACTGGGCATGTTTAGTTTGCACAAGAGATTAAGGGGAGACATGACAATAGTTTTCAAATATTTCAAAGGTTCCATAAAGAAAATGGAAAAAATATTCTCCATTGCCACAGAAAGCAGACAAAAAGCAACAGATTTACATTACAGCTAGGATATTTTTCCTGAGATGCAGAAGTAGAACAATGGACCAGAATGCTCAAAAAAAGTTTGAGGAATCTTCAATAGTAGTTCTTATAAAGTGGCTGGATAAGTAACTACCTTTGGTAGGGGTTGAATGAAAGGAGCCTCGGTCCACTCCAACCCTATAATTCGAGTTCTGAAAGGCCTCCTTCCACTCAAATACATGTAAACTACTGCTGACGTCAATGAGAGCAGGATTTCCCAGGTCACTGAAAGCAACCAGTATAACTTTTCACTTTTGTCTTTTCACAAGTGAGGACTTGGTCAGCTCAAATGTAGCTACAATTTCCTCTTTCCACCCATGCTTCATGCTATTTTTTCCTCTCTCATTAAATGGCAATTCATTGATCATGAAAACCTAGTTCATACAGAAATTAATTAGACAGGTATTTGCATATGAATCAAATGTTAATAAACTGCCATATGCCTGATATTTGCCAAATAGCCATCCTTTTTCATGTCACAAAGGAGGAGAAAGCTGAATGCTGAGGGAAATTAATCAGCATTCCAAATACCCAATGGGAACAGGGTTGTTTTGGGGTTTGTTTGGAGGGAGGCTAGAGGGGGGGGTTAAGACATAAATAAATCCCCTGTGCATTTGCAACCCTATCAGTGCAGGCTTGGTGCATGAGAACCAAGAAGTAAGTGCCTGATTTGTTTTCATTTTCTCACTTAGCTAAATTTAAGATGGAAACAAGTCTGCTCCCACAAAAACATACAGACACACTTGACTTGATGCATTCAAAGTGGGGGCAACTTCTCAAAATGCCAAAAGTTATGCCCGTGTCAGAACTAAAGACAGAAGAGTAAAATGCACATCCAATTATTTTAATTTTGATCACAACCTTTTCCATTCAAGGTGTTTTAATGTCTGAAGGAAGGGATTGCTATTACAGCATCCTCCTTCTGACAGAGCATTTCAGCCCCTCACCTGATTTTCCCATCCATATCCTCACAGTGACTTTCTGTGAAGACTGGCTGGCTGCTTGCTTTGTGTTTCAGGCCGAAAAAGCAACCCAGGACCTGGCCCAGAAAACCGGACCACTTCCCAGGGCAGCTCACAATCCTTATGGGATGGAGGGACTTCCATATGAGGAGAGCCTAAAGAGGCAAGGCCTCTTCAGTTCTGCAAAGAGATG